CGGACCCTATAGCAATTAGCGTCGTTCATCGTTATCCCCTTCGCAGCAAAGCTGGCGGTGGTTCGTGCACGGCGAAGCGCCGGGGCGGGAGGATGAGAGCGCTGGCAGCGTGCGCAGGCACAAAGGTACCACCTGGTTTAAGCCTGAGCATCTTTACAGGGGGGGACATCCCCGGGTGGGATGTCCGCTGCTGTGTGGTCCGGAGGTGGGAGCATCTCCCACCTCCTGGGAGGTGCTTTCCCCATCCTTGATGCAGGGCTGGGTTTGGCTGTAGCACGCGAGGACTCACCAGGGGCTGAGTTTTGTTGTGATTTTATTATTATCGGTTTTCTTGCAGAGTCACTCTGGCTGCACGTGGTCTCGGGCACCGTGGGTGACAGTAGGGGACAGCAATGTTAGTGGAGCGGCCCAGCCGGCAGTGGCGGGACATTTTTTGCCGCAGCTGCTCCCAGCGATGCCATGCGTCTGGAGGCGCAGTTGCTGGGGATCCCTGGCGTCCCAGTGCCTCAAAACTCAGTCCTTGGAGTTGTTTTTCCATAAAATGATACTAAAGGTTCGTCTCCCAGGGCCGTTCCCTGTGTCAGGCTCCTCTGGAAGGGGTGAGACCCCCACCAGTAAGACCCCACATTGGATGAGGTAGCAATCCCATTAGACTGGAAAGGGGCAGGGGCTGTTTCCCAGCATGATGAGGAGGGCTGGAGGGCCCCGGGCCTCTCTGGAGACCTGGTGGTTCCTCTGAAATAGGCCGTTTCCACGTGTCCGTCTGTGCCACCTTCACTCCCGCTCCAGTAATCCGTGCTACTCTTCCTCCACCGCTCGGGCAGGTGTAGGATGAAGCTTGAAGTCGCGGCCGTGTTAACGGGAACGAAACAGATGGGAGGAAGCAGGAGATACACTGAGCTTCCAGGTTGTTTCTCTCAACCCCAAGATACCAAAATAAGACCAGGTGATTTAATAGTCCCTCCTCTCCGAAATCTAGGAAGGCTTTTTGATGGCGGACCATCCTCTGAGCATCCAGATGCTGGCAGGGGGGTGCCACGTGGGATGGAGAGGGAAGCATCCTGGTCTGCTTATGGCTTGTGTGACCCTGATAAGCAAATATTGACACTTTGTCTCCAGTGAGTGGAAAAAAACCATTTTATTGTGTCGATCCACATCGTTTTCCCCCGTAAGGCCCGTAAAGGCTTTGCTCTGCCCTTGCGGATCCTGAGGTCCAGGAGCAAAACCTTGCGCTGGATTTTGATCCCTCGAGCCTTAAGTGAAATTTGTAGGCTGCGGTTTCCCTGCGTTGTGTGTTGTCTTTCGCAGAGAGATGAGCAGTGTCTGTTTTAGGAAGCTCAGGCTGTGCTTGTATGTAAAGCTCTTCCCCTCTGAGCTCTGTCCAAGCCCTCCTTGCGATAAGGGTGCTGCACTGGAGGGCTCTGCGAATTTAAGGTGTCATGGTTAAAGTGTCGTGGGACTTGTCCAGCTCTTAGGAAGCATTTTTTTTTTTTTATCATTTATAAGATCTCGGGTTGCTTTTAAAGGAGACCAGAGGAGCAGCGGTTGGATGGTGAAGGTGACGTGGGAATGCGACTTGTCTCAGGGGAGCTGGAGGGTGAAGCCCAACATCCAGGAGCTCCCCAGCCAAGGGGAGACCGGAGAAACCGTTTGTGGCGATGAACACCAGTTCTGCCTTTGCAGGGGGATGTGAGAGAGGAGCGAGCTACCCGAGGTTCTTGGCTGGCTTTGACACCTCTGTTCCCGTAGCTGAGTCAGCCTCGTGCACAAACGGGATGGGAGCGGTCTACCGAGGGTTCCTGAGCGCCGTGAAAAATCATGTGCGAAGCATGAAAACATCTTTCATGGTTGTTAGGCCTTGATCCAAACTGTGGAAGGGAAGATGACAAGGTGCTGAGCTTTATCTCCAGGTGTCCCTCCTTCAGCACTCTGTCTTGGAAGAGAAAAATACTCTTTTTTTGCTCTCTGAGCATCCCCACTTTGGGGTGAAGCGCTCCCTTGAGTTCACTCTGCTGTGGTCTCCTGGTGAGGACAAATTTTGCTGCGCTGACTCTCCCCTTCCTTCTCATTTTGGGTCTCTCTCTCCTATTTCTCCTTGCAGCTGTCCTTGCCGCTGCTGCTTGGTCTTTTCCCAGCAGGAGTGGTGTGAAATTGCGGTAGTTACCACTGGTTGAGGTTTTTGCCTGTAGGTCTCTGCAGAGCGGCAAGAAAACCCTCCTGGACCTTATTTAATTTCATATTCTTGCTGCTCAAGGGAGTCTTTGGGGTCCTGTGTGTTTGTGAGGAGCTATATCTAAAAGTACAGCAAGACCCTATGGTTTCTGTGGAAGCTGGGGGCAGCAGATGAGCTATTTCAGGAGGTATTTGGGGCACATTTAGCGTATTGCCTGACTATTTCTATTAAAATATGGAGCAAATAAATATTGTTAATGATTTCATTGTTCTTCAGTTTGGCAGAAATATTAAGACATTTGCATCACACATGCCATTGTTAAGTTTCAGAGTTAACAGTCTGCTGCTCTGTTTGGGGTAGGTCATGGTCTTCATCAGGTTGGGGAAAGGACAACTGTTCCTGTCTCGAAAATCTGGACGCGTTGAGGCTTCTGGGCGAATAATCTCCGTAAATGCTTTGGGATGTTCTTGTGAAACTCCTCGGAGAAGGCGCAGTTCTGCTACCTGAGTGTAGTTAGCGCGTTACTGAGTCATCTGAAATAAAGGGCTAGTGTAGCTAACCAATCATTTTCTGTTTGTTTGAGAGACTGGCTATTTTATTTTTATTTATTTATATATATGTGTGTGCATATATATATAGTCATTTACAACATAGATGCCTTGCTGGTGATCCTAAGAGAAATACGTTTCCTGCTCAGTTCAGACTGAAATGGGGATGACATTGGATGTTCCCAAAGCTTTTGTGCATTTAACCATCAACTTGCCTGCTGAAAAGAGAGGTTTTGTTTCTTCCACGTCTGCATTGGGCTGTGCCATGGTCGGTCTTGGCTTGCTGGACTCTGCATCATCGTTGTCGGTCTTCTGCAATGTAGAGGTGCCCCAACAGTGGCCAGGAATGGGGATGGTGTCTCTGTGATGGATTTGAGATCTTTGCTGGTTTGAGTTAGCTTTTGGAGGCTCCTTTGAGGCAGTCCATGGACCTCTGAGGCTTTAGGGACCACAGGTTGACTAGGAGTAGTCTCGTGCTTACTTCAGAAAAGCCATTGCTCCTGTCTCCTCTCCTAGAGAGACAACCCTTGGCCTCCCCTGTCCCCCAGGCACGTAGCCGTCGTGGTACAGGAGAAGAAAAAACTGGTTTCTTAGGTGGTAGGAGAAGCTGTGGTGACACAACTAAACTTCTGCCTCTGCTACTTCTGCAGGACCAAATCCTGCCACGCCTGTCAGCCAGGAGCCTGCCTCAGGAGTATTTCATAACATGCAGCAATTTATCGAGGGCGTCTCCTCTGTGGCCACCAGCACTCGCTCAGCTTCGCCTTCTTCCCCAGCATGGTTGCGTCCACCACGCTGCTGGGTGGTGGTGGAAGTCACCTGCATCTCTCAGGTGGCGGGACGGAAAGGGTTATGGGTGGGATGACGTGTCCGTGGTGGGGTTGTCCCTTGGATGGGGAGCGGAGGTGGGCGGCTGTGTGGTGTGCCCCATCCCTTGGTGTCACGTCATGCCCGGGTGACCTGAGGATGCACGCGGGTGCCCACAAGCTTCTCGTTTCTCACCAGCGATTTTAATTGGCCTTAATGCAAAAAAAAACCCCTCCAACCAACCTTCCCCCTCCCTCTGGAGCTGGCCCGGCTCACTGGGACTGGTTTGTACAGCCTGCGCTGCCCCGGGAAGGCTTCACCACTGCTGGAGCCTGCCCCACGCCAAAGCAGAAGCTACAGGGAGACACACAGCTGCCGCCAGCTCCCCCAGCCACCTGCGACGGGGAACCGTTCACGGGGTTCGTAATTAAATCTGAAAAACGCTTTTGAACTCAGGGAATCCTGGAGGAGCCACCTTGCTTGGCTTGCGTTCACCAGGACCTTGGGAGAAGCTGGTGTTCACAACCAAGCTGTTGCCATCCCTCCGCCGCCGGTTGCATTGGGTGATAGCTGGCACGGGAGGCAAGCGGTTGGGTTGGTGTGGGAAGGGTGGCACGGGTCTGGGTCTCTGCGATCGGTTGTGCTGTGCCGCGCGACAGGGTGGGCACCCAGTCCATCCCCAAGCTAGCGTTGAAAAGGTCTTCTGCAAATAAGTGGGTACGATCCCGAGTGTTTTGCATCGTCTGATTAAATCTCACAAGTCTGTCTATGCAAGCACAGTGCTTTCGAGCTAGAACAGAAATGCATTGCAGATATTTCAGGGGTCTGGGCCGTCACAAGCATTGAGCATCTCGTTTGTGAAGCCAGAGCTTTGCCAACTGGCATGGAGCCGGCCGCGGGTGGCACGGCCTTGGGCGAGCTCGGGGCTGGGGCAGCCGCTTTGCAGAGCTGGGCTCACCCGTGGCCGTGGCTGCGAGCTGCTCCTTCGGCTGCGTGGTCCGCGGAGACGTCATTTTAGGGCCACCAGCTTCTGCAGGTGGCTTTGACGGGTGTTCAGGTCTGCAAAAACCCATCTTAGTGTTTGCTAATGGGGGATCTTGCAGGAGTAATTGTGGGGTGAATTTTAAAGGATTTTTTTTGTCCTGCAGAGAAGCGTGCGCTCCGGTCACCGGCAGGACTATGGTGTAGTCTAGGTCCAACCAAGCCAGCCTGAAGCAGTGGTCTGCAAATGCTGTTTTGCTTTCGGGTGCTGGCATCTCCCTGCATCACCTGCCCAGAAACAGGCCCCCCCTGGGCCGGAGGGCTCCTGGGCGCCGTGTCTGGCTGCACCGAAGCCAGAGGGGATTTTAATAATGTGCCGTGAAAAATGCCATCTTGGGTGTCTGGGCAAGAGAGGAAAAGAAAGCAGGAAGGGTTGTGGTTGTGCTGTGGTTGTCAGCTGGAGTTTAATAAGAGAGAAATGTTTTGTGTTTAAGGTGGTGTTTGCTTTGCATGGTGAGAAGAGATGGGGGTGGATGCCTGCACCCACAGGAGCCATATTCCCTTAGATCAGGGCATATCGATGATCCAAGGAATGCCAAATGGCTCGGAGGCATCT